ACCGTCACCACCGTCTGGCCTGTCAACAACATCCCAGTGATCTCCTCAAAATGCCCTGAGAACGTATGGTGCAACTTGCCGCTCGCCCTGTCCCAAATCTTCACGTCTTCATCTCTGCCAGCACTCACGACCCAACCACCTCTCTCATCGACAGCCACTGCTCGGACGTAGTCTCCATGCACGAGCGTGGTGTCAGCTTGCCACCCTCTTTCCCTACCTAGGCATTTAACGCTACCGTCGGCGCTTGCTGTCCACAAGTCGTCGTCAGCGTCGAAATGTAACCTGTACACGCTAGTCTCGTGCTGGAGGAGTGGTTTGTCCGTCTCGGTCTCGCTAGCGGTTGAGAGGTCGTCGCTGATACGCCACCTCCTGATTTCTCGATCACTCCCCGCACTGAAAACTACGATCGATCCTCCATCATGTTTCGCTAACGGCGATGATGGGTATGTGATAGGGTCGACGGCTAAGTCCAAGATCCCTCTCGTATGCCCTCCTTTCAACGTATGTAGCTTGTCACCAGTCTCAACATCCCAGAGGATAATGGAAGCATCTGCGGAGCCAGATATGAGTACATCTGCACCATTGACACGAATGCAGAGAAGCGCTTTCACGAAGTCGGAATGGCCAAAGTAGCGGCGTTGCGGGGCTCGCGTGGTTCTGTTCCAAGACCAAATGGATTTGTCCCAGGAGCCAGCGAAGAGGGAGTCGATAGTGGATATCGTAGAGAGAGCGAGCGAGGTAAGGGGTGTCGTCGGTCCACGATAGGTATGGGAGGATTCAGCAGTCTTTAGAATGCATCATTTTCAGCAGGATATATGGGATCAAACATGGGCAGAGGTGATCTCACCTACTTCGAGCACTACCCTCCTTGCTGTCCCAGCACTTTCGGCTACGTATACAGCGCCCCGGTCTGCAGGATGGGAGATGATGGCGAGGATTTTGCTTTGAAGACGGATTGGGGAGCCATGGTGGTTTTTGGATTTGAGGGTTTTGCGGCTGGTTTCGGCGAGGGAATGACTGGGGAGAGGTGAGTGATGAATCTAACAGAAGAAATCAATTGGATTTGGGTGGGGGGAAGAGAAGCTAGAGTACCTGGTTTGAAAGAAATGATCTGGATCTGAAGATTTTGACATGTTGCATTGAGTAACTCTATTGTACTTTCCCTTACCTTTTACTTTAACCAGGGATTCTGCTACGAGTAGTCGGCTTCCCCGAGAGCTAAGGTACTTGTACTACCTTGGTACCTTATGGTAGTATTATGCCCCATAAGGTACTTCAAGGTACTTATTTTAAAGTACCTTAGATTTACTCCTTACCTTACTCGTAGTTTATGTTCCAATGCCCAATGGTCCGGCATAACCTCACCCATCATCCATCCTCCTTCATCCTCAAACACTCTCACCCATTACCTTCTCATATTCATATTCTTTCTCATCCATCCTCATCGAGCTTCATCAAGTGAAGTTATGGATTGTAGCATACATAACACAAGTCACAGGTATCTCACCAGAGCATTCGGAACCACACTCTCTCATACCGTCAGTGCTTCGGTGTTGAGCAAAAATTCAATGCCGTCGAAAGATGAAAAGCTCATGGAGACAAATTGAAATCTCTAATCATACTTAGGTATCAGGCTCGAACGTGGCACTGAATTTGACCGTCCAAGGAGAAAAGAAAACATTCTGCTCAATGCTGCTCTGTGGCCAACTTGAAAAGCTCCAACCTTCCAAAGTATACCAAGTACCCCAATCACCCTCTCTTTGATTGTTCTATGTCTTTGCTCGGATCGAAATTCATTCTATTACTTGCCAAAGCAAGCCAACGCGGGTGGCGTGTCCCTTTGGCCCTACTCTTTGAAAGCAGGGCGTGTTTCGCCCAGCTGTTGCAATTCTCTCATTGACCTGCGCAATGCGCATCTAATTTTCTCAAACCTTCTGCGCAGAGCACCTGCTACTCTACCGCATTGCTGTCTGGGAATGGCGACAAAGGACCAAGCACGCTTACGATAAAAATGCTCAATCGTAACAACATACCTACCTAGAGCTCCGTGACTGTCAGAGCGCCCAATAGGAAATTGGCACACGAGGCAATTTCGACACTCTTACAGATACGTTAGGCCCTACCCTACAAGGAAGTTCCAGGAAGAGTGAATAGCAGCATCATCTTTGAAATCGAAAGAGTCAACGATTTACCACCTGAGCCATCTCTCCAGACGAATTCTTTATCATGTCTCAAACAAGACCTAATTCCATCGAAGCAAAGATTACCTACGTTGTGCTGATGGCGCTGCTCGGTGTGGTGATCGCGGTGGGAGTCACAACCGATTAATACGGACTACCTCCTTGGCCTCACTGGTCTGGCATGACGGAGGACGACCAAATCGTACTCATTGCTTGCCCTTATGTCGGAGCTCTTATTGGAGCTCTTTTCGGATGTTCTCTAATGGCAACTTTAAACACCATTGGCGAGCAGGCTTCAACATCTGAATCCGAACGGCTCAGATCCTCTTCAATAGGTACGACACACAGCCGTGTGCCGAAGTCCATGTCAAAGCTGATGAGACGTTTTCCGTATTACCTGAAAATGCACCAAATGGCGATATTGACCTCGAGGCTCAGACACATGAACAATCAGAACTAAATACAAGCAGCGAGATCCCCAGGGATTTCGCTTCAAAGAGCATGTTAGCCTACGGCCTAAACACAGACAGCCCACAAGTACCTCCACCTTCATACACACCCAATAGAAGACCGAGTATGCAGACTCAATTCACGTCTTACAGCTCGGTTGCACATAAAACGTCAGGGGCCTCCGGTAGAGATTAAACAGTGTGGTTTGGCAAGAAACCGCATACGTCGATCGACTGGATTCAGAACTGGGTATGCTTTGGTTCACTATACCAGGCTCGTTTGTGGAAGAAGACTGTTACGCGAAAGACGTTCCCAAAAATGCTTTGGGGCGTATCTGTACGCTTGTCACAATGAGGATACCTGAGTTGCGCCTCCATTGCATCGAAATGTGCTGTCGCTATATATCAAATAAGTGTCAATGCCTTCTTCTCAATTCCTTGCTCGCAATTGTTTTGGGATGGCACCCAGTGACGCTCAAATAAAACCGGATCTTCAGGACATTTCAACAATAAAATACCCATTCGCTATGTCATCCACACGCATGTACTTCCTAGGCGACGGTGGATTCGAGATCGAAGCCTGCTCGGGAATCGAGCGTGTAAAAAAAGCATTTACCTCCCAGATAGGCCAAGTTCGATACTTCAAAGCAGAGATTTAATTCGAACAATATTTTATTGCATTATTGCATTATTGCGTACTAGAGATGGTTTAAATCTTGGAGTCTCTCTTACAGTTCCAACATCGCCGCTACTGATAACCCGCTGACAACCCATACTCCCACCGCTCCCAGAGAGCAACCAGATAGTTATACAGCTTCGAATCTCATCAAAAGCAGTCGTCGAGATGAACTCCGAGCAGGATCCCTCTGTCTTCCTTACCAACTTCTTCAAGGCCATCATCTTTTTTTCGCTGATCGTAGTTGGCCTGCTCGTTCTGCTCGCTTTCTGGCTGGCGATTCCCGACGCTCTGTCCTGGTTGTCGTACAAATTTCATGAGCTCCGCATGCGGCGAGGCATCGGCGATGCTCTTGCACAAAACATGGAAAACGGCATGGTCGAGAACCGTGTAGTCGAGAACGGTATGATCGAGTCATCCCGAATGGGTCGGCAGGTAGCTAATATGAGACAAGGTCCAGGACGCGGCGAGGAGCGTGTCTGGTGGGCAACGGATTTTTAACCACCAGCCAACGTTCATTGACAGTGTATGCACATCTGCCGTGGAGCGCATTCCGAAGGGCTGTGCGCTTTTATAGATGGTCCGTTCCTGGCTTGTCATCGCGCTTTCCATTTCCTTTCCGAGAGACAAGCTTCATCATAGACGGCAGATCCGGGTCTTGGGTTGTGTGGTACATGAATCTTTGGTCTACATTCCTTTGAAGAATCAATTTATCTTGGTAGTATGAAATCAAGAACTGTAACCGGCATTCCTTCGAGTCTTGAAGCTTCTGCCTTTCGTGCCGCAATATTTCACCTCTGTTACAAAGCTGTGTTCATGAACGTAATCGTAAGAAAGTGGGTTGTGGCCGCTTTACTCCTTACTACAAATCGTCCGGTGTGAGATTGGGAGATCTCATTTGGCAGTTTCTCGTATTTGCACCTGATCCAAACATGGTACTTCTGATCTCGTCTCTTTAACGACCAATTTCTTTCACCGTGTGCGCTTCACTGGTCTGCATTCAGCCATGTCCGGCGCTCCCTCACAAGGAAAATTTCAGTATGTGGGCAGCAAATTCCTGTGTTCTTATCTCTATACTAGAGAAAGAGTGCGAAGTTCAGAAACGGCAGTCATGTATAGGTGGGCCGAGTCTTCAAATGGACCATTGACACTTCTCTCGATTCTGGTAGATTAAGTCCTTGGGCTGCCCATATGCCTGCTATGTCAAGCCTGGCTTCCGGCATGGCTTGTTCCGAGCAACTGTTGATGGCAGGACCGTCCTGTACTAGTTGGGAGTAGGTTTGAGCAATTGTGGGCCTAAAATGCAAAGTAGTACTCTTGCTGAGAAGAATTGAGTCCGTTCGACGCCTGAGGACGATTCGAACGCAGCAACGCTACTGACGATTCCCATCCTCATTATTTACAAGACTGTCTGACCCCCAATCTGCTTCTTGTTTTGTCCCCAGACAAATGGATTGTCCGAGAACCGACAGCTAGCATGGCTTTTACTTTTACATCAGCAGGGATGGCTGGATTTCTCGGGACTGGAACCAGTGTAGTTGCTAGTGGTACTAACACGGCGCAGTGTGGATTTTGGGGCTGCAAGAAAGCGCCAGAAACCTCGTCATCTCGGCTACGAGTTCGGGATGTTCTAGCAACAGAGCAGACGACGGGTAGTACAATACCACGACTCTACTGTTGCGCTCCGTCGCTACCATGACTGATATAGTAGCAGACTCTGCCAACACGGTACCCATCAGTGCCATCGCAGTGCTCGGCTTCTTCGTTGGAATTTCGATCATCCTCATCATCGGCAAGGTGATCAAGGGACGTCGCGATCCCAAGAGAAAGAAGGCCATGGTCGCTGATCAGCAGTGGCTCAGCGATACGGGGAAAGGTACGTTACTGTCCAGAGCACTGTGAGCGTGTGTAGGTCTGAGGTGAGGACCCGAAGCAGCTGAGATGTATGAAGATGATCTCTCGCCGGATCATCGTGCGAGACACGAGGCTGGGTATTTTGGTGGGGAAGGATGCAGTCACTGCTGAGTCAAAAGCCTGTCTTTCCAGACGATGAGACGCCGTCAGCCAATTAAGATATCAAGTTGATCGGCTTGAACCCCGACTTTGTGCACGCTGGGGGCAATGCCAGAGGTCAGGACGTGGTAATAGGCTGCAAGAAAGAGGGGATTTGGATACAGAGCAAGTTTTGACATTATAATGCAATTTCCGAAATCTTCAGAAATAAAGCATTCTTCTCATCTACGAAATAAAATGCTGTACTCCATTCGTTTCTTCCTCAGGAGTCCAACCCAACTGCACCTTTCCGTCAATCACCAAAACCCACAAGCCAAACATCACAGAACGAACGTGTTCAATCTGACTTACGTCCTAACCTACCTGCAAGCGTCCACTCCCACCAGCTACGACTCCTCTCGAGAATACTCGGGTGTTGTCCCCAAAGACCCCTCGTCCAAACACACGATGCTCTGCCTCATGGCCGTCACGGCTTTGGCCCTCTCCCACATCTGTGACTGGCGGGAGCGAAGGAAACGGGATCAAAGACAGCAGGATAGGCTTGCTGCCCTCGAGAATGGCATGATGGATCTCACGGGCAGGCTCCTGCCAAACCCAGGATATCCCCTACTCGACGAGGACGATGATTTCAAACTTCCACCACCCGCATATGAGCTTCACGAGGGGATTCCTGAGGACTGAGAAGGGGACGTGGATGAGAAATGCACCACAGGGTGCCGCGATTCGTGCAAGCGATAGGTGATGCTGCTCGTACTTTGGCTTGAGTCATTTGCTGGGAAAAGGGAATATTTCGAATTGCCAAGGACGTAAGGTAGTTTTCGCTTGGAAAAGTAGAGTATTCTAGACCCACGCGCACAATTGAACGAGATTTAAATTTCTCCACTTTTATTGCCGTGCAGTTTTTCCCTTGTAAAGTACTTATACCTCCAGCCCGACAGTACTCCACGTACTTACATCCCAAACCGGACTGTGCTGCTGTACTCACGCTCCAAGCCAGACACCCCATCCAGCGCTCAACGCCAGCTCTACCATGTGTCACTCCTCCCACGTCATGAGGCATTCTGGCTATCGACACTTCGACCCTCCCGAGCACACTGCAGATGGCCACGAAATGAGTAGCATGAGCGTCTATATCCACGCGTTCTTGCTTCTTTGCTGGTTCCTGGCAAGCATGCACTGGGCATGGGTGTGGTATACTAAGCGAGGAGACGCTCGGCGGGAGCAAGGTGAACAGCAGTACTGCTTACCACTCTATGAAATCCAGCGTCGAGATGGCCGGAGAGAAGATTGTGGAGATCAGGTTGGCTTGTTGCTGTGGCTGGATGATATAAGTAACAGTGAGAACGCCGGCAAGTTGTACCTTTGTGCCAGAGTGGCTGACTGGTGAATACTTGGTAGTCGGTTTCCACCAAGATAAGGAAGGTTGTGGAATTGCATACGCCCACTCTATACCAATCACATGTCACGAAAAGGAGAGAATGCTCCTTGTCCAACCACGAATGTGTCGTTGCGAGGGAGATTGAGTGTCAGCGAAAGGGTTCTCGGACTTTCGATCCTCGAGCTTGTGAGGCTCAATGAAGACAGGACACGAGTGCCGAGGGCGGCAAATTTATCGAGGAATATATATTTATATTCTTCAACAATCCAATAATCCTATAATCCGAAAATTCAATAGAATGATAATCCAATGCAAATGGGGGAAAGCAGTCATGGAGATGGTGATGGTGATGGTGATGGTGATGACTGTATGAAGTCTGAGAAGTGTCCATGTTAATATTGGCACTCACTGATCAGCGCAAGACGTCGATGAAACATGCCGATTTCTGACCTGCATTGATTCTGGTCACGCGCAGCGAAACGAGCTAGTGAAGCCTTTTAATTAATTACCTTACAGTCGTCACTGTCAGCGTAAACTATTCTTTGCCCATTTGCCAATTTCCTGAGAGCTCACCTTTCCCCAATGCCACCCCTTCGGTCCCACCAGCTGCAAAGGAAACAATCCTACAAGCAAACTACGCATCATGCACACAACTTCCACCTCTAACACCTTTCGTACTTCTCACATACTTCATACTTCTCACACAATACTCCACACATCTCACACATCTCAAACATCTCACACGTCTCACACGTCTCATACGTCTCGCACCTCTCACCCCTCTTACCCCTCCCACACCTCTCAACCATCTCACACCTTTCAACCATCTCACCCCCCTCACATTTCTCAACCATCTCACACATCCACACCACACATCACCTTGCAAACGCCGAGCCCGACCACACCCGCCTTCGCTGCCGTCGCTTTTCCGTGTTACCTAGACAGTGAGCTCCGCGCCCTGTGGAGTAATTCAGAAGACGCATCACTCTTCTGCCCTCTCTATCTCGATTCCCAGTCCCAGATCCTCCTCCCAACCTACGTGGGCCAATTCGGGCGCCCCCAGATCGAGAGCGCCTGTTCGTGCTTCGATCATGGTGATAAACCGGCGGGAAGCACGGCGCCAACGGTGAGGACGGAGGCCGAGTTCGTCTTGACATCCACGGCGCCATCCTCGAGTACCATCGTATCAACCAGTCATCATTCCAGACCATCTTCGAAACCGAGTACGAGCACAGCTAGAGGAAGCGTAATTCAGGGGAATAGAAGCAATTCGGCTTCAAACCCTCCGCCTGGTCGTTTTGCAGTGTTTTTGGTGTCTGTGCTAGTAATATTTCTCGTGGTGGCGTTGCTGAATGATTTAATTGCGATTTAGGTGGGGGCTGGGCCCTGCTGTAGCCTTTGCCGAGGGAAGCATTTGCAGGTTCAAGAAAGATATGCCGAGGAAGGTAGATGGAGGCAGAAGGCTGGAGGCCCCGACTCAACTCACAAAAGGGTAAAGAACCATGGACTGACAGAACAAGAATGATGCTGGCAATGTCAGGGCTCCCAAAGCCTGCTCCTGAGAGACACGGTCAGGGAATTTGGAGAACTACCATTAGCCCAAAGCGTTGTAGCGTCCGCAATGAACACAAAGCATGCATGAAGAACTGATTGCTGAGTACTAACACCTATGAGACAATGCCGAACCTGGACGAAACAACGACCTCTATCCCCATCATACTACGGCCATTAGAAATGCTGAGGTACTCGATTCCAAGCCGACAAGATTCGCATCATTAGAACCCTCTAACGCTCGTAAAACCAACCATGACTGCAGGCAGACACATGTTGTATACGTAGACCTCATCGGAGGCAGGTCTTCCATCTTGACCACAATTTAATCTTCCTCTCCCCCCCCATGCTTCTATTTCTCTAACAACACCCGCCGGCCGAACCCGATTGCACTCCCTGACCTTGTCCGACTTGGACGGTGGGCTTGTTGTTGACGGTTGTGGTACCCATTCGCTCTTTAATCTGTCGCGCCATGGTCAAGAAGGCTTGTTCGACATTTGAAGCGTTCTTGGCTGATGTTTCTAGGAAGGGAATGCCAAGGCTGTCGGCGAACTCCTATGTTTCCATCAAATATCAGACTTGATTCGCGGTGGTATATCAATGTCGTCAATTATATGATACGTACCTTCGCAACCGTATACTCCACCACTTTCTTGTCCGACATATCACTTTTGTTGCCCACCAGCAGCTTGTTCACACCCTCTGTAGCGTAGCGGTCGATCTCTTGAAGCCATTGCTTGACGTTGTTGAATGAATCCATATCTGTCACATCGTAGACAACGCAGATGCCATGTGCTCCGCGGTAGTAGGAGGATGTGATGGTTCGGAATCGTTCTTGCCCTGCGGTATCCCACTAGCACTTATATCAGCGTCCGCGGACTGAATCGAGTGACTGCTATGCATACGATCTGAAGTTTTACAGTCTTGCCATCCAGCTCGATCGTCCGGATTTTCTGGTAGAGCCTGTCAGCCATCTCGGGTTCTTGATCTGAGGTGGATTCTGGAAGCGCCATACAAAGTCCACACCAATGGTCGAGATATAGCTCTCAGTGTATGTATCATCGGCAAATCGCAGCAGCAAACAGGACTTTCCCACGCCGGAGTCACCGATAAGGAGGAGCTTGAAGAGGTAATCGTATCTGGAGAGAGGCGGTGATTAGCAAGGCTGCAATCCGCCCAGCAGTCCTGAGGGAAGCGAAAGCTTGATCCTGCTGCGAATCCAGCTTCTTCTTGCTCTGGGGACGGCAGGGTGTTCTCTGCGAGATCCGAAGGTCAGCGTTCTGTGAGGCCTTGTGGTTCCATGTCTCCCCAACTTACTACTCTGGATTCATGATGAGCGTCGAGAAGATGGATGTTCGAGCTTCAGGAAGAGAAGTTTCTAAGAGTTCGACAAGTATCAGATGTCAATGTGTGCAGAGAAGGATGATGTTGGTGATGATTCTTCCTAACACAGAGACACAGGACATCAGGACATAAGAGCAGAATGGCGCTAGTCCATATTCGACTGGGCTGAAACATTCAGCCTTGCAAAAGCCACATGAACATCGACTTCGGGAATGGTCTTGGTCATGATCAAATCATAATGTATCACTTGTTCTGAGATGACAGCTACAGGATATCTTGAGGCCAATTTGCGCCTCTAGAATGTCATGAACTGCCAGTCGTCCGACCATATAGTGAATCGTGGCAAGATACGTGAGCATGAATCGTTGCTTTGGACTCCTTTCCACCATTGCTTTCATGATTACACTCATATCTCGTCAGCATACTATTTTCGAGACTTTCCCTCCTCATACGTAGTCATGGGTCTTGAGCCATTCCAGCACCAACGCTTCATCACGCTCCTTGTAGTTTGCGTTTGCCTGCACAGTGTCTGAGACTTGTACCAAGCCTCTGTCATAACCCTTTGTGTCCTTGTCTTTGAAAAACGCCGCTATCTCTTTTTCCATCTCGTGGCTTGCAAATTTTGACAAACACGTCTTGAGATAGCGATCCATCACCACTGAAGAAGCCGAGAGTTTCTTGCTTATTGGATCCCAGTTTTCCTTGATATACTGCCACAGGGCGTTGCGAACCTTGGAGTTCGCAGCTAGCGAGACCGAGCCAGTATGGACATCCTGGAGGGCAACCTTGTCGGAGAATTGGAAGTCGAGGAAGGATTTGACGAGATCGGCTGTTTGTACTTTGCCTAGCGCTAGCAAACAAGTCTCTTTTCCGTCAATGGATGTGGTGCTGGTATATTCATTGAGAACGGCTTCATAAGCGGTTTTCCCTCCTTCGCGGACCACGATCTGGAAGACAGCTAGGCGGAGACTGGGATGGACAGCTGAGCGATCACCCCTCTGGTAGGCCTGGAAGCGACGCTTTGCTTCGGCGATCGTCCTGACCTAGATGTTAGCAGTCAATCCAGTACCTTATGGACGCGGGAGGCTTACTTCGCATGGCCTGCATTGCCTGCAGTACTTATCAACAGAGCGCGCATCTGTCCTGTCAAGAAATTCTCGTTTGGAGCAAAGTCCCATCCTATCTCTTCCGTCGCCGGTGTAACAAGACGCAAAGTAAACGCTTTCAGTCCGTTGGCGAGTGTTTCGTTGTCCGCAAAGATGGACCGAATGTTGCCGAGCGAGCTAATAATCTGGGACCAGACGCTAAAAGTTTGCTGTCAATATCTCGCGCTCAGATACGATCTGGCTAACATACGCTTTGTTCTTTTCATCGCTGAACTTTTCGACCAAGACCAAGAACCCAGCTGTTGTACCTTGACCAGCAACAGCCAATGCTGCGGCATCTGCAACCAGGCCGATCTTGTCCTCGACACTGAGCTTGTGTCTCTCTTTACCAAGCAATTCCAGTCTTGCCGGCGGGTAATTGGTGCGGTAAAAGCCTACCTGATCGCTGTTGAGCTTGTAAAACGTCTCATCCACGTCACGGAGCGTGTCTTCTTTGATGGTCAAGGCTTTCGTGGCGGCTCCCGTTGCTTTTGGATCTGTCTTCAGACCTAGCGGAACCCACCATAGGGTCTCATCCTCTTCGCCTTTTACGTCCCCTGTTTGGAGGAAACGGGACTGGCGGACGCCAATTTGCCCGGGCTCTTCTGCGACAGTAAGGACCGGAAATCCGATCTTTCTGATCCATGGATCCTACACATTCTCAAATCAGCCCTGAAGAAAGGCGTCACAGCCGTGAGACAGACCATGAAAACATTGACATCTTTTCCAGATGCTTTGCTCAACGCTGCCCAAAGATCGTTGGTAGTTGCGTTACCTATATGAATGTTAGCTATATCATGGAAACGAAGGGCCGAGTGAAATTACCGTAGGCGTGCTTCTTGAGGTACGCAGAGACTCCTCCCAAAAATGTGTCTACGCCTAGATGACCAGACAGCATCCTAATCACCGAACTCCCTTTCAAATACGAGATTGCATCGAAAATTTGCTCCACCTCAAGAGCATCTCGAACAGGAACTTCAATTGGATGAGAGGCTCGCAAAGAATCCAAATTCTGAGCAGTCTGCACAGCTTCCGTGACGAACTGGCTCCAGACCTCGTGATCGGGATATAGATGGTCAACCGCCAGCCAACCAACCCAAGTTGCAAAGCCTTCGTTGAGCCACAGCTCACTCCACCAATCCATGGTAACGAGATTACCAAACCATTGATGGGCTAGTTCGTGCGCTACTACGTATGCCACACGGTTCTTGTACTTGGCGTCTGATTGTTTCTCGTCAAAAAGGACAGCGGTCGTTCTGTAGGTGACCAAGCCCCAGTTCTCCATAGCGCCGTGCGAAAATTCATGGACTGCGAGGAGGTCCATCTTTGGTAGTGGATAATCGATCTTGAAGATCTCGGAAAAGTAGTCCACTACCTGATGACAATTTTCAAGAGCGAAGCGTCCCTGCTCCTTCAAGCCTTTGGTGGTGTAGACCCTGCATGGTAGCTGCTTGCCTTGGTACTCTCTCTGTGTGAAGCCTTCCACGTACTCGAAATCTCCGAAGGCCCATGCAAGAAGGTAAGTACTCATCACTGGGGTTCTTTCGAAAACTACGGTTTTCAGGCCAGCTCTTGCTTGCTTGACCTCTTTCTCAGGCATATTGCTAAGTGCTATTTGGTCCTCCGGGATCTCAATACTAACATCGAATGTAGCTTTGAGGTTTGGCTCGTCAAAGCATGGAATGGCTCTTCTCGCGTCGCTAGATTCGAATTGGGTAGAAAACATGACATGGTGCTCTCCGTCCATAGGGACAGACTCCACGGGAGTAACTGTTGGCTTATACTTGGATCTGTAAAACCCGGCCATGCTATTATTCATGGTACCAGCATATCGGATAGAGAGCACAGCATCACTAGAGGCACTGATTTCCTCTGGAAAGACCAAGGTGACGCGCTGTGACTTCTCGTCGTAAGAGACATCAGTAGTTTTTTGACCTAAGTAATTTTAGTAAGCGGTCACCTTGGAGTCATGTCCTTCTACCAGAGATTTCGCCTTCATGGATCGTCAAATGATGAGCGTTCAGAGTAATACTCTTGGTCGCCGACTTAATCTTGACTTGGATCTTTACAATCCCTTGGAAGCTAAAAGCACCGCCAAGCTCAAGGTCGAAGAGCCCAATGTCGTAATTGATAGCTTGGACGCTAATTTTGTCAATATAAGGCCTCTAGCAATGGAGGACAAAACGTACGTATCAGGCAAGATGCTTCGATCCGCGGCAGCCATGGTGGTAGTAGACCTGCGTCGAAGCGTGATCGAAGGAAAGGATGACTTCAAACAGTTCAGACTTTGACTTGCTGATGAAGGACGTCTAGAAAGTAAGGCCGGGTAAATATATTTGTGTTGACAATGGATGTCAGGACTGCCCCGGACCTGCAAGTGCAAAGAGCGGAGGTTCCCCGCTCGCAATGGCTGCAATGGCCCGTTGGTTTTCGGATTTGGAAGGTGGGTTCCAGGAAATACCTTGCCCAGACCTCTACTACTGCGTGAAAAAAGCATGCAATGTTTCGTCTTTGGAGAATGACGGGGGTCCTGGTCGTATGGCAACGGGACAATGAACTTATGTCTTGGTGGGGAGAATAATCCGATTTTCCTACAAAACAATCGACTTAATAGTACTCTTAGTGACCCTGTATAGAGTGGGCAATGTCCAGTTTCCAAGGCTTTGTAGAGACGTCGATGGCCTTGATCGATCCTAAACGCTATGTTTCCCCAAAAACCCCCAATTCGCTAAATGCAAGCAGACCATCCGGCGATTCCCATAACGCCAACAATGCTCGCTCGCGCAACCATACACGCTTTGTAGGGTATCAACAGCCACTTTATTTTTACAGTCGGACGTAGACGTCAACGCATGGCACTCTCCACTGCCTAGCTCCGAGAAAGCTCCTGATCCATCCCAGACCAATGCCGGTCCATTCCGCTTTGTATGCCATCCTTCCCTTCATTTCCTCTAAAGCAGCTCCAGCCAAAGCCGACGCCGTCTCGTTGATAGCCGTTACAAGGAAAGAGCCATCCCCAACAACTCCATCCGCATTCGATGCCGACCAATTTGTAGCATTCGATAATGCACTCGACAGTGGTGAAGCAAGGTGTTTGGTCTCGAACCAATTGCTGTGCATATCAAAGAGGCACTGGTCTCTCCATGAGCAGGACGAAATGAATAGTATCAAGAGTAGCGCAGAGCAGTCTGCGAGGATTGTCAGCTCTATCATCTTATCGTCAGATGCAGGAAGGACACACAGATGCATGGTCTGTTGAGGAAATAGGTGAGGACGAAGAAGGTCACGACGAATCTGCAGAAAGACTTCAGTATGCTATCTTGAGGAAAGCCCTCTAAGATGGGGGCGTAGAGGAAATACTAACACCGGGCTTGCATTAGTTGGCAGGAACAGCAAAGGCACCCAAGCCCTTAAACAGAACATTGTGTGGGGGGGGAGGGGCCCTAGTATCTTCGTCAAGTGAAGGGTCAGCTCAATGTTGACAGAAACTTGAGTTCCTCGGTTGGCCTACTTCAGGTTCACGTTGTGTCGAAACGGTTTGCCGAAGTTGAGCCGACAGACTCAGCAATTGAGGCGACGCTAGAAGCTACAACACATACACTGGCAAGTGGTAGGTCATATACTGAAGTCTCAAGTCCCTGTCTGATAGTCCCTGTCTGATATGCAACCAACCCTTAACAGTATAGACAAAAGCTAAGTCGACTAGGCTTCCAATCAATACGCCATGTTTCTTTGCCCGGAGATCCTCAAATCCTACAGAAAAAAATCATCCATGATATTAAGAGGATCAAGCAAAAGTCACGCGTGGAGAGGGAGATCAGGCGTGCGGAAGTTACGAAGATCCAGTGAGGTGGAAGTTGAAGCTTTCAAAGCTCTACAGTCAAGCAGGCTGTTAGAGGGGAAAATTGGAATCATAGGCTTTTTCTTCTTGTCTCATTCTGAGATAATTGTGTGGGTCTCAAGCAGTACAAGCTGGTTTTTCATCTCAAACAACTTAAAAGAAAAGGCTATCCGAAGCTCGAAAATGATCTCCCTTCACTAATAAGGACGAGAATACAGGGTTCGTTTGGTCAAAACTGTTACCCCTTCCTGGGACAGTGCTTATTGAGACCTCGAGATTTGGAGATTCCCTCTGTGCATTCCCGCCTAAACCATTAAGAGCGATAAGTAGGGAGGAGAACCATACTCATACGCTCTCCCGCCTTTTCTTTCACCGCAATTTATGACTTTATAACATCTCATCCTTGTTTTTCTCATAAGACAACTCCTTTCCAAATCAAGTACCAAAATCTTGATCTTCTTTACTTCTACCTCAGCCTTTCCAGATCTAACGATAACCAGCGATCATCGTTCACTATTCCATAGATGTGCTCTGGCCTCAGTCCGTTACTACTCAAGACATAGTTTGGCTGACAATATGAGCTTTCCTTTAGCTTCTTCATCGCCTTAGTATACCCTTTGGAACTATCATTTCAAAGTGAGTGATCAAGTTTAAAGCGTCCTCACAAACCCGCAAGCAACTTTTCCTGCTTTTATGAAAGTTCACCCACTTGGAGTGCGGTCTATAAGTAGTTTCAGCTTGATGAAACCCTGACTATTGCATGTCAAAGCGGATAAGCGGGTTCCGAGGCCTCACTTGTCACCCATTCAGATTGTTTAATCGCAAATGATTCCCCTGATTCTCCTTCTCATCCACTTCTTAATCTGGCTCTTTGTGCTTACTTAGCTACCACAGTATGTCTTCATACCGGACTCATTGGGATGACACGAATCTGGTACTCAAGCATGAGGCAATGTCTAGCCCAAAACATCATAGCATAGCAACACCCGAACACACAAACCTCATTCAAGCACAAGTTGAAGGCCATGAGAACACAGCAACGCCCGAATGGACAAACAACAATCCAACCCAGGATGAGATGGCTACTGACAACAGTGACGACGAGTTCGACGCTGGCGAGGAATTCCGAGATAGGGTTAATGTCATCAAGAACGGAGCCGACACGGGGTACAACCCCATGAGCGAAGCACTCCCAAAGCTCCCAGCCTACCACCCTTCATTCATCAAAGCTGAGAAATACTGTTCAGAATTGATGGAAGATGCGGCTCTCGTCCTCAAGAATGCTGAGTACAAAGATACCCGGATTCTGCAACTACTCGAGAAAGCGTCAAGCAACCAAACTCTTGAGTATCCCAAACCTAGAATAGTTGGCTTGATGGGCGATAGCGGAGTTGGAAAAAGCTCGCTCATCAACTCCCTTCTAGACACTCCCGATATTGCTCTTTCAGGCGCGAACGGCGAAGCTTGTACCAACGTGATCACTGAGTACCACCAAGCGCAGCCGTCCCAGAAGGCCCCATTTATGGCGGAGATCATCCTGTTTGAACCATCCACCGTGCAGCGAATATTGGAGACTCATCTTGGATCATATTACCGTTACGTGCATGGATCCGTCGGAACCATGGACCAAGAAGCCATAGACGAATTAAACGCCCAAGTCTCAACGGCTTTAGAAACATTCCAAGCTTTGTTTGCGAATCGGGAAGAGTTCAGTAATGAGGAGCGTACGAAAGAGTTCCTTGAGCAGGCAAAATCGGCATCCGATTCAGAGATGCTGCAAAAGCTTTATGGCTGGATTCAGGAGTCCATCTCAAAATGTGGTGCTGAAGGTGGCATCATACGCCGAAGCGTTTACAGCCCTGAGGAGCTCGGAAGTGAAACTGAGCGATTTATTAAGTCATGCAAAAATTTGCTCGACGAAAACGACTGCCATGTTCCTTCGCTATGGCCGCTAATCAAAACAGTCAGGTATGTTTCTGGGTGCCTGTTAACTGGGGACCAAGCTAAGACGACCAAGGGTATTCTTGCATTCGCCGTTACTGAAGCGTGGTCTGATAATCACAGATCTTCCAGGTGATTGGAGAATGGTCCCCGGAACGCATAGCAGAAGCTAAATGTCTCGCATCAAGGTCTTTCAGATTCCAACACAATCAGAACAACCATCACGACCAGATACATGCGACGTTGCTACTTTGGGTTGTTGATTGCGCCCATCGCCCGCATCCAAACAGATAATTTGGTCCAAAGACGACTTGGCGAGCTACACAGGCTGTTCGGAACTCGCAGGGCGCTGCTGTGTTCGAAGATTGATGTAGGTTGAATATTCTTATCACCGTGACTGGACTGACCAGCCAGGATGTGCCTGCTAAACAGAAGCCTTCGGATCTTGATGCCACTCCACAGGATATCGAAGAGCATGAAAGATTGATGGCAGCGTACGACCACGTATGCAGGGGAAAGAGTCGCTTGACTAGCTTGAAGAAGCTGGAGAGGGGAAAAGCAAAGCAAACTTTCACTCAGAAGATTGTAGATCTAGAGTTAGTCCACCACGTACTTTTGATTGGGAAAATTTAACAGCATCGCAGGCTTAACAAGAAGATCTACTCTGCGTTGTATAGACATCTTTATGGTGGGCTTCGATGGAGAAGCCTAGCTAACATTTTTCAGATTGCGGGAAGGACTCATCCTGATGAGGAATCGAAAGGTCACTACGATCATGCGTCAGAAGGATAAAAACATCACGCAAGATCGTGCCCTACTCTTCGTCTTTGCGGTATCCAACTCGGACTATATCAAGCACAAGGACGGTTATGATCTGTCCGAGGAAATTCCCGTCTCAATTCATGTGACAGGTATACCTCATGTGCGTTACCAATTGTCCAAGATGCCAGCGAGAAGCCGGCTCGACGCCTTGAAGCACTACTGCCATGGTACGGTAGAAGACATGATTGGCTCACTGCACAACTGGAGCCAACAGTCTATAATCCAACGGCGAGTAGAGCTTACAGAATTGGTGGCGAAACCGCGCGCAGTAAGAATGCACTGAATCTGCTTCGCATCTTGCTAACAGATACTCGCACAGGCTGTGGGAGCCGAAATCTTCAAGTACGTTGCAGAATTGAAGTCGGTCTTGGAAAGTTGCATTCTGCAGGAGTGTGGTGCGTTCTCCGCAATAATAAAGGGTTTCCCAAATCCTGACCCGGACTAGAAGATTGCCAGGAAGCGTGGGTAGAGAACAGTGTTCGGCTGTTCGAGACATGGACGAAAGAGGTAAGAATTTGTCCTTGCATAGTAGAATCAGACAGCGCTGACCGAGTGTAGTGGCATGGCTCGACCTTTGCAGCATGGTGCCGAAATAATGGAGCACACAAGACCAAAGCCCGACCGTACGTTAGTTGGAACGCAGAGATCCTGGGTCCGGTGTCCAAAGACCTGACAACCGCCTGGCAAATATTCGATGACGAGATTGCTACCGCTAAGGAGGACTGCTTCGCGGCCCTCGTCGGATTGGTGGATGGCATCGGCGAGGATCTGGCTGGTAAGCGGCTCCATCCCAACCATACACTCCTTGACGAACTTAGATTGACGCGTGGTACAGCTGAAGAGGGCATCTCTATGGAGCCAATGGCCCCTTTCTTGTCCTCACTTGCTTCCAAGAAGACATTGTTGCGCAAATGCCTTGACGATTTCTCGGTGAAGGTGAAGACCATCAGCAGGTATAAAGCCTCGATCATTTCTTTGTGCGATGTTCTAATGGCGACAGGGACACGAAATTAAATATCACTATGGATGATGAGGATCCAGATAGCTTCCTTCTACAGGCGATGTCCCCACTTTACGCCAAGTGTGCGAAAGTGACAGGTAAATCCAGCCATCTGTAAAAGCCTGGGTTTGTGCTGAGCAGAGGATACAGGCAAGAACATGCATACGCAGAGATGCACCTTACTGAATGACGCAATGTCGAAGGGAGGGCCCTTCGCTGGCTTTTGTCCAGGAATCAAGAAGGCTATTGAGGAGGAGATCGATAGACAACAGTCGGTAGTCTTGGGGGGCGTGCAGGGGGTCTTCAACATGGTTCTTGAAGACTTCAATTCGACATTCACTGTCGAAGAGATACCAGATCCAAAGCGAGATCTTCTGCGCTCTCAGATCCAGCAATTCGTCGACCACGCACAGGCCAAGATCAACGGGCCTCTGGCAACTGAGTTGGCAACGGCTATGGCGGATTCGGAGTGAAGGATCGAAGGAAGCAAGATACATGTTGCGTGCTACTCAAAGCACCCAGTCTCCTTATACCAGTCCTCCAGTTGGCTCTATGCTTCATGGCGCAACTCGCACGTCGAAGGACATGGTTACTATCATTCTCACGACAGCAACGAAGGACGTGGTGCAAGCTACGCAGCTTGACCTACTGATTTGAGCATTTGATCTTATAGTAATTTCGTGGATAAAGAGAATCAAGCGCATTTGTAGACGTCCCATTACGAATGCCTGTGAACCCAACTGAAATCTTCTCAGGTGATAAGATCTGGTCCCGTGACCAAAGTCTTGGCGTGATTGTCAATTCGGCGCTACCAAAAGTTCTCTGCAACCTACGGCAATTCCACCAGGCAACAGCAGCAGACCTTCAAGATGTTCGGAGGTCGTAAGTAGCCCAGTTCCTTATGAACCAGAACCCACTGACCCAACCCCAGCCCAAGCACCGCCATCGAAGGCCGAGCTCAAGGTAATCACAGTCCTGGAGATACCCTAGAACTGCGAACAAAGCACTGGACGACAGTATCGCTTTGCCACGGCCTGCTAATCAATCAAACTACAGGCAGCCGAAGACGAAGCATTCCAGACCGTCAAGCAAGTGGCCGCGGCGAGCATATTGCTCTATCTCTGTGAGTCCCAATCGTCTATGCTGTGCTCTGGGGATCACTTGGGGTGATGGAGGCACCATGGCTGATCACATTCTTGCATGGTACAGCGCCCTTCGTCATCGACTACGTGAAGAAGCTTGTTTAGAGGAGTAAGAGGAGGAATTGGACGCATGGTGAATATCACAGCATCAGGCCTACGCGCAAAATGGCGGAAACATTGCATAAAGACGGCGTTGAGAAGAACGGGGCTGTATGATAGGCACTCTTGAAGAAGCAAAGCTACGGACTCTCGTGACATCAATGAGTGAATTTAAGAATACCCGACCCTGCGTTGAATGTCAGCCCATCGCCTCTTCTTTTTCGCCTATATCACTCTCCAGCCAATTCTCAGCATCATGCAAGGACGCGCGCAGCGATCTTCTGAAGAGACGATGGGGGGATTCTCTGTTCGAGAACTTCTTTCAAGGACTGCATTATGCTGTCCCAAGTCTTGCGCCATATGCACTTGCAATTGATACCGATCATTTGTCTTCCCCTGATTGCTGTTGTCTTTTCCGCTCAAACTTCTATGATCTCTAACAACACTTTCCTGGAGAGAATCGTCAGTCTCAATACCTCTAACGATGCTCTTTCGCCGCCCTCAAGTCTCCTTGCTCTTGCGTACACTAAGTCAGATTCACAAAATCTTTCTCCCCTACAAATCACTCACCCCTATCCACTACAGCGGCGAACCCCACTACACATGCAAGCTCCCTTACACGCCCATGTCCTTGAACTACACCCTAGGCGCCTCCATCTCCAAGTCGGCCATAGGCGCCCTCCTCATCTCTGCCCAACGTCATATTCAAACCCAGCTCAACATAGGCCATGGCTCCGACCGAATCCAAAACATCCTTCCGGGCCGGTTCTGGCGTTACAAAGCTGATTTGTACGTTATAATTTTCGAGGCAATCCTTCCCCATTCATGCCGTCTTATGAGTCGTCAAACATGTCTCCAGAGTTCTCTGCTCCTAAGAGATGTCTCGTCACTCAGATGTTCTCCCGAAAGAGTAATGCTGACTCCGAAATCATCAAGGGTACTCTATGCGAACGATTTGCAATCTGAGCGTCGCGCCTTCACATGGAGCGAACTATTTCAGGCGATTGATTTGGTGAGGTACTGCGGGTTCGACAGGGGAGTATATCTGGAGATGTTCACGGATGTTTACATACGGTATACATGGGTAGGGTCCATTCGGGTCAAGCTTTCGAGAGGACCTTCGCTTGGTGGCCAAATGAAGACGGATCTCATAAAAGAAAGTAATCATAGCCTCGCTTCCAACGAAAACTGAAGGGACACCGTGGCAGACCCAAATCCCGACTCTCATCATTCACCTCTTCGAAGATGCGGAGAACTATGTATGTCTGCTACGATTGAGATCACCGGAACGCCATGCCTGCGACCAAGAATCAAAACATGTTCATACAAGTGCTACCTCCCCACGCCATTCGTGATCGCGAGAGGTTTCGACTGCTCCCACTCGGCCCAATGGTTTTGAAGCTGCGCTAGCTCCTTTGTTAGACCTCCGAGTTGTGAGCTGTAATCTTCCAAGATCTACATCAGGTTAGCCAGCGTCGAATTTGACAGGGTGGTGTGTACCGCATACCTTCTTCACCCTCCTCATTACCTCCTCGTCAACCACCTGCCCCTCTTCCTGCGATAGACTCCTCCCAGCCTTCTCGAACTCCCGCTGCAGCAGTCTTCCTCGTTCTCTAACGCTCACCATTCTTGCCCATATCTCTTCGCTTCTACCATTCAGCGCGGGATCAAGAACGCTTCTTTCCAACAACAAGAACTTGTTCCTCAATTCCTCTTCCGGACCGTCCATAGCATATCCTCTGTTTCTCAAAACCTGCGTCTTGGCCGCCAACCCTAGGCATTGATGACTCAATCTGAGATGCTTTCTCCGACACTCTGCCGCCCGAACGGATATGCTCAACTCGTGTTTCTGCAGTAGTTTACTTAGACCACTGTTGATCTCATGTAGTCTACCACCGAGAGTATGCAGAGCCTGAAGTTGCATATTCATCCGCATTCCAATCTCGCGGAACCCTTTGACCAAGACTGGGATTGCCCCGGGACCAGGTTTCTTATTGAGCGCTTCTTCCCATTTTGTTTCGTCATCTTGCGCTGTGGGGCCGTAGAAAGGTGCCTGCTCTGGTGGGACAGTGTTGTAGAGGTATGTTTGGAAGGGAGTAGCGGGATTTTGAGGATTCCATTTCGAGAAAGCTAGGTCGATTTGTGCGAGTACGGGCTTTTGTCCTATCCAAAAGCTGCATAAGCAGGTACATAATCATTGAAGGATACAAATGAAGCTTACGTGGAGCATTCTCATTCTGAAAGATGGAACCTTGGCTCTGCACGAACACACTTCCTGGCTGCTGGTTCTGTTGCTGCTGCGGTGCAGGCTGACCCACATTTCCAAATAAGCTACTTCCCTGCTGCTGTTGGTTCTGCGGTTGTGGCTGCTGATTTGTAGTTGCGCCTGAGCCGCCAAAGAGACCACCTCCTTGCTGAGGCTGCTGCTGCTGGCTTTGAAATAGACCACCCTGTTGCTGTTGCTGTTGCTGCGGCTGCTGGGTAGATCCGAAAAGCCCGCCCTGCTGTTGAGGTTGTGTAGAACCAAACAGTCCTCCACCAGTCTGCTGAGGCGCTGTAATGCGACCAAACAATCCACTCCCCTGCTGCTCCTGAGAGATTGGGGCACTCGTGTTCAGGGAGCCGAAAAGTCCTCCCTGCTGTGGCTGAGAGGCTGCTGTAGAGCCGAATAGCCCTCCTCCTTGTTGCGGCTGAGAAGTTGATGTAGAACTAAATAGTCCTCCCCCTTGCTGTGGCTGCGAAGTCGTACTCGTATTGAGCGATCCGAAAGGACTTGGCTTGCTGGTGTTCTGCTGCTGTTGATTGTTGTTGCCGAAGAGCGAGCTGGTGGGTTGGCCGAATAGGGAAGACATCGGTGACAATGTCTAGCGGATCTCGCGCGTCGTGCTGAGAAGAGGGCTGGAAAGATGGCGACAGAAGAATCGAAGACAAGGGGCGCGCTCAGCTAACAGAGAAGTTGAAAGGCAAATCCAAACCATTACGCGCGCAGAAATTACCTGTCCTTCTGTAGCCGATAGGAGCTTTGACACAGGAGTAGCGATAGCGGTAGTAACGAAGGTGTTGCCTACCTGGGAAATGTTGTGGCGCCGACTTTGTTCATTGTTTTTGAAATTCGAGGCCGTTATTCCCTTTAAGCGCGTCTCCCGCGCAGCCAATCACAACTGTCGATTCATTAAAGTACAGTAAAGTAACGCTATCCACCACTTTTTCTACCGTCAGAAGTCTAGCTTCGCCAATTGGAAGCACATCCTCCACAATGGCCGCCCGCCAACCCAGGTAACCCACCCTTATGTTCTAATTCCGCATTGTTCCTCATCAGCTACCAAAAACTAATCTCACCGCCCATAGGTTCAACCAAAATGTCCTCATCGACACCACGCCCCTGCCCGATTCCGTACCCAAGGTTCCTGAAATCGGCGCCTCTTCCGCTCCTTTACTCAGCGCGTCGTTCTTCATTGGAGCAAGGTGCGGTGCATACAATGATGACTACATGAAGTGCAAGACCGAGGCGCATGGGAAGGGGGAGGTGGAGTGTATGAAGGAAGGGAGGAAGGTCACGAGATGTGCAGCTAGTGTGTGAGTGTCTTCTCTTGCAAAGTCTATGGGGGTTGAGCAAAGACGAAGAATGCATGGGTGCATAGGCAGGGTGGGGATTTTTGGGAGAGACGGGAGTTGCATAGGGGCTGGGCTAATTTGCGTAATCGGCAGGCTGGATGATATCAATAAGAACTGCCTTGAGGAGTTCCGGAAACACTGGCAGTGTTTGGACAATAACAACCAACAGCTATGGCATTGTAGAAGACCGGAACAGCTGCTCAATGCGTGTGTATTCGACAAGCTGGTAAGGCTCTCTCTGCCTCACATAGAACATACGCTAATCAAGACTCTTACCCAGAAACTCGAGAAGATGATACCCGGAGCGCCAGAAAATGAGACTCCTGTACACTTGCGGGATAGGCAAATATTCTCACATAACATGTCGAGCTATCGTAAACCAGAGTAGAGGTCATCGAGGGTCACTCATGAATGTATATATTGGAGTTTCCAGGCATGGATGAGTTAATGCAATGCAAGGATGTGAAAGACGCAGATCGAACTTCGTATCTTTGAGGGGTTCTAGGTACAAAAGTCGAAAGCACATTGATGCGAATCCTGGGACGCCTCGAAGCGATAAATGAATACCCATTAGGGTCACTCGTTTGCTATCCCACTCCGCCTTCAATGCAAGACTTTCTGAGGATGAAGCTTCGTTCTGAATGTAAAGATCTTGAGCCATGTAAGTATCTCATTCCAATCAAAGAAAAAGTATTGAGCATCGCCAAAGCGAAGAATGTCCACCTGTGCTAAAAAGGTTTACCATCGTCGCTTCCGTGATGAATACAGAAGTGATATTATCTGCAATGCGTTGAAGGTTCGTGTCATCTCAACAGGGATCCATGCTGATGTCGGTTCAAGCTTTCACCCCCAGCGCCGTTGATCTTGAGGTATTGAGTTGTTGTAGTCCACGACCCCGAGACTCGGCAATATGGCCATGGTAGGGGACTTGAACTGGAACCTCAAGTCTAACCAGTCTTCCTGATCTATGATCATAGAATGTTGCCCATCGTTCATTCAGTGTAAGACTTGAGCTCACGTGCCTGCCTTGCCAAACCGGGAATCTTGCGGAGAGCGGGATTCTGAGGTTCCTCCTCAGCAATGCGCATGTACTCTCCTTCGAGACGTTGGCTCAATATTTCGAGTATTTTGCCGACAACATCACGTATGTCTGGGTCCTAGACAGTGTCAACTAGCGGCGCAAGGAATACTAAGGGACACTTACTCTTGGATTGACCGAATGGAAAACGGTCTCAAGCCAAGACAAGCGCTCCATAACATTTGTCGCTAGCGAAGTAGTCACGGCAGCTCCGACGGAAAGTATCACCAAAGGTGAGGCTTGTCCGAGATAACCTGGGTTGCAGCTTACAAATAGGTTGTCAAACAAAGCTACTTGTTGGTTTGATTGGAGCCACTGCAAGGATCAGTGTTTTGTTTTGATACATTGCAGAAGTCTCGTCACATACCATAACCGTAGCGTCTTCGAAATGGCCCTCTTGCATTGATGCTGCGATTGCTTCCAGCTCTTCCTGTTCAGGGGAGATGTGCATGGATGCGGATTCGCTAGGACTTGGTGAAGGCCGACGAGCCAGATTTTGACCTTCCTGGGCAGCCTTTTGTTGAAGCTTGAGAATCTCGAGTTGGAAGTCGGACTGTGCAGCTGCCATTGTGTGCACAGTTTCAGAAAGCCCACGGACCAGGTCCGTGAGCTGATCAATCTTGACACTGTCATCGCGGTGTTGCAATTCCGCTTGTTGTAATTGCTCACGCACACGACGTTCTGTATCATCACTAACTTTCTGTGCAACAGTAACTGCAAGATTAGTGAAGTTAGGCACGATGACGTTGTGTAAGGTCGTCGTGAATTCGCGCTCCACATGGCCAGTCAACGCTTTTGTAATGTGCTCTGAGATTGAGCGAAGAAGGTTGGGATTCTGCATAGTTCGGCCAATGGCTTCTGGTAGAGCAGATTTCATAACGCTTTGCATAGCTTCGTTGACATGCTTAGCTACGACTGTTGGGAGCACGTCAACCAGGGAAGCCGAGGTGACATCGGCAACGGACGGAACTACAGAGTCCTGAATATTCTTCAGGATGATCCGAGATAGCGACTTTTCCACATTGTCACTGAGAGTACTCGATACCAGACGAAGCATCGCATCTTGCTTGGCTGCTCCACCAGCGTCTTGGACACGCTTGTCTTCCGCGAAGCGTCGGTACAGAGTCTCAAGCTCCCGTCGAAAAACTTTGTTGAACTCGTTAGAGACTCCGACCTCGATCTTCTTGAGCTCCTTGTCGAGGAATTCACCCGATATGCCCAGGCTGATCGACTCTCCGTTGGCTATCGAGCGTGTTGACTTATCCCCAGTGGAAGCGGGGACGGTGTCAGGCGCTTCCCGTGAGTCATCCTTCAGCGACGAAGGCCGGGACGTCTCTTTCGTAACACTCGGAGCAACTTGAGGGGTGGGAGTCGATGCTCGCTGGGCGGCACTGGCATAAGACTCGGGCGCAGGAGATGGAGCCGCAGGGCGACTAATCGGTTCGATAGCGCCGTTCCGTTTGCTCTTCTTCTTGTCGACCTTTTCAGCATTGTTGGGGGCAGCCTGCCCGTCTTCTGTTGCGGCACGTTCCGATTTCGCGATCTCCTTCGAAGGGGTCTTTGGCTTTGCAGGAGAAGAAGTGGCTAAAACCTCGCCATTCATTGAGGTTGACGACGGCTCACTTGCGGAGATCGCTGACGGCTCTCGAAGCTCCTTGATAACAATTTCACCAGCCTGCTCTGCATCTATCGAGTGAAGGACTCGGCTGTCGCTTGACCAACCAAGGTCCTCCTTTTTGATACCTAGACAAGTGACACCTTTAGAGTGCATCACATAAAGTTCGAACAGCAGTGGGTCTTCTTCGTCTTCCACAGCTCTTGCAGGCTCACCGGAAGATGGTACCAGCTCGACACTGCGTAACTGGCCCTTGCTCTCGAATGAGTATTCGCGCATCCCGCTCATGATAGCGGTAGCTTCTGCCTTTGGTAGGCTAGAATCCTTATTGGCCAGACGTTGTACAAATTTGGCTTGCGACATGCTCGGCAGGTTGTACTTCGGTGCGGATAAATGGATGAAATAGATGGAGTTGCGGGTCGGATGACCAACAGTGATGATACCTGAAGCTGGATGATACGTGACACTGCAGATTGCGTCGGTTTCCTTCTCGTGAGGGAAACTGAGCTCTTGAACCGCTTTTCCTAGACAAAGGTCCCAAAGCTGAAGCGTATGATTCTGCTTCATACCGACAATGATATATCGAAGGGCTATTCCTTTCGTATAAGGGCGAAGTTTGTCCACAAAGAGGACCGAGGTTGGCCACGACTTTTCTGTCGAGTGAGCCGTGCTGAAAGATAGCATTGGAGCTTTAACCTCGATTGGTGTAATCATCGATGCACCGGCATTGGCTTCATCTGTTAACTCGCGAATATCCCAGATCCTGAGCTTCCCAGCCTTGTCAAGGGTAACGATTGTGCTGTCATCCTCGCTGAAAGTAAAGTCCTTGCCCGCCTTACCGGTAGTGACCTTCAAATTGCGCTCCGCAAAGTACTTATCCGTATCCAGAACTGCCTCCTTGTTCACTAAAGAGGATTTCTGCGCATGTGCGGTGAGAACGATGTAGATGGATTTGCCGCGGCCTATCGCGAAGAACTCTGGATGGCGGCTACTCTTCTTGGCACGCGTCTTCAATTGACCACCCGATGTAGAGTCGAGCTGATTGGGTACTGGCGGAATAATAAGGCCTTGTTTCTCCATGTCGTCTTGGGTTAGCTCTTCTCCCGGTCTGGCTATGGCGGTCCAGTAGACAGTCCCGCTGACGCCAGTGGCGATTACCGTCTGAGTGCCTCGTAGTGGGCTCCCTGGATGAGCGGACGAAATGCCGATATTGAAGATACGATCTTGGGTCTTTGAATAGATAAGGCTGGAGTTTCCATTGTCTTGTTGAATTATTCGTATGCCACCGTTCTTTGGCATTCCGTAAACGATGTATTCATTCGTAGCGGTCCCCAAAGTTCGGTCTGCTTGGTCAAAGTCTTTCTTGAATCTTGCGATGTTGACGATTGAATCCTCTCGAATGGGGAGACTAGCAGGTTCCTTTTGAACAAGATCGATGGACACGAACGGCCGCATCGGGAACTGGTGAACTTGGATAACACGATTGGGATTCGCCTTGTTTGCATTTCCTTCGCCCTCAGCGCTCTCCCACTCGTCAGCGCCCT